AATAATCGTTTTGTGTAAATGCTGCAGCGCAAAACACATAAGACTGGATTTTCTTCTAGTAATTCTGAAATCAGACTGCAAAATTTTTTCCAGGGTCTCTGTCGAGGAGGCGGCTGTTCGAACTTTCGCGGACGCAATTATTAGATAAAGTGAGCATTTGATTTTTAAATAAACTTTTAAGACCCAGAATAGTATGAGCTCTCCTATCTTTTGGCACTTTGCTGTTCTGCTAAGCACATCAGGAATAAATATTCTGGCCAAGAATTTATTTATGGCAGATAAATTCTTGGTCAGAATATTCATTTAAACAAAATGTTTTGTTGGCTTCCTAAAGACAAGTGCTTTTTTACTTGACGACTTGCAACTTTCAAATTTAATAGCAGAAACAGAGAAAAGGCTGTATTACTATCTGAAATGACGTTTAAGGATACGATAGTTCAGAGAAGCCTCCTTGGATACCTCAATGCACAGCGCCAGGCGCTGCTTCACGCTGAAATTTAAGACCACTCTTGTGGAGCAGAGCGCGCAATCAAAAATTTTTCAGAAATCTCTGTTGATGGAAAAACGAATCAGTTCGATGATCAATCGACAAATGCGTCTACGTGATGATTTACGTAGCGCGAAGCGTTTGCTAGGGGTGGCCGATGAGCACTTTCTACATGCCTCCACATCCAATCTTCAGGGAGCTACGCTGCTCGAAGCGCTTACCCAGGTATGCGAAGCGATCGCAGTTGCTTTACATTATTAGTCCATTTCGTACAACGCTACCATTTCAGTCATTGGTGCCTTGCGCGTTAAGATAAAATTCTGGAATTTCCTAGAAATTTTTATTCTCGCGCAAGTCTTCTCTAGAACTTTCAAAAAGCCCAAATTGTACCAGATTTTCTCACTGCAGTTTTATTGCAAAATCTGCTCGAATTTGTAGAATAACTTAAAAAGTTTCTGGCAAAACGGGTGCACTTTTGGTTAAGTTACAATTCACTTCACGCCGCCGAGCTTTTCAATTTTATGCCGTTCGTCTCAGGTATTTCTGCAATATCTTCTGGGTGTGAGAAGGATATCTTTGGAGGAGTGAAGGAGGGGGGGGG